AATAATAATAATAATAATAATAATATTAATAATATTAATATTAATAATAATAAGAATAATAATAATAATAATTAATAATAATAATAATATAATAATAATAAGAAGAAGAAGAATAATGATAATGATAATAATAATAATAATAATAATAATAATAATAATAATATAATAATAATAATAATAATAATAATAATAATAATAATATAATAATAATAATAATAATAATAATAATAATAATAATAAGACAATAATAATAAATTAATTTTGAGATTTTTCGGAATCAGTAATAATAATAATAATAATAATAATAATAATAATAATAAGAGTAATGGTAATAATAACAACAATAATAGTAATACTATTAATCTTAGTACTAATATTAATATTAATATTAACAATAATAACAATGATAATTTTAATAACAATAATGGTATATTTTTTTCCTTTCCTGATTATTCCATTTTTCCTCTTTAAGTTACGTGTTTTTACGAATTTTTTCTATTTTATTTTATTTGCCGCTGGGTTGTAAGATGTCTGCTAAATTTCACTTATTTTCAGCTGATTTTTTAAACTGATTTTTTTGTTGCTGCTTTTAGACGTAGAAACAGTTGCAGTCAAATTTTTAAACATTGGCGGCGACATCAGCGACAGCATCAACAGTTGTAGCAGCAATAACAACGGCGTTTTAGCAGCAGCCTCTTTTGCACTCATTTCGGAAAATATGAATAAAACGTGTTTTTTTTCTCTACTGCTAAAAAGATGACTGCGGATATGCGCTTTTGTTGCTGTTTCAGCAAAAAAAGAAAAACAAAAAAAAAAAAAATAAGGAGGAGGAGAAAAGTTTCAACATTGATTTCTAACTTGGCTTTTTTCATTTGTTGCCTATTTTTCTGCACCAATTTTTTTCTTCTTGTCAACTAAATAATATACGGAAATGCAGCTATTAGAAGAGATTTTTTTCTTTGAATGCATCCAAATTTATAAATCTAAAATCCTTTAAAAAACTTTTCCGCTTTCCTTTTTTCTGGTGTTTATTGTTTCCGCAACGCATCGCGCCGTGACACCGCGACGCTTAAACGTTCGCATAAATGAATTGAGCGTTTGGTTGGTTGGAGTTGGTTGCTTGCTTGGTTTGTTAGTTGGGTATACTGGATGGATAGGGGAAGGGGGGGAGGGGAGATTGAAGGGCGGCAATGTCTCCGCATGTGTGTTATATATGTGTTGCCGTTGTTTGCCTATTGTTTTTGCAGACATTATAGATTTTTCGCATAGTTGTTTTTGCTAAAAAGAAAGAAAAAAATAGCCAAAAAAAAAAAA